ATTTCTCATGGCTTACAAATCACCGACATTACACAGTACAGCACCGTCACAAAATAAAATCTGTTATTTTATCAACAGAGACACGAACGAAAATAAAATCTTCTAAATTCAATGTTATTTGTCAACAACTGGCACAGTAAATTCTGCCTTAAAACCGACTATAAATTCACTGGCGTTTTCAGTGTCCTTGCACATCGAGAAATTAAGCGGAACTGAACCAAATGGAATACCCGGTGCAACGTTAAACCAGTTTCGCATCCATCAAGAAGGCCTAATTCACGTTATGAAACCTTACTTAGTACAGAAGGGGGCGGCAAGCGATTAAACCGGTTACAATGGAGTAATGACAACAAATAATCAATATCAGTGCAATCAAACAGCAGTTCACATAGAAAATTGTAAAATGTCGGCTATAGAAGTCCCTCGTACTCAAGAACTGCCCAACAGAATAAAATTAAATCTGATACTGAAAAATTCGCCGTAATTTATCTAAAAATGCTAATGTTTATTTATATCGGACACCAGTGACGGTCGCCTTAAATTAAGATCAACACTAGTGTCTGTGATCGTAAGTGACTCGATGGGGAATCCGCCGAAGGGGAATCCTAGCTTGGGAAATTCCCAGTGATTCAACCGCGTCGTATTGTACGTTCGCTAAGCGCAGGTCTGAGTCCGATCAATTGCTCTGCACGTGGATGAAGTGGCAAGGGTTGATAAAGCCCACCAACCCTTAGGCTGAACCGATGTCGAGTTCTCGTCGACTGGTGGCCCGTGGTATGAATGCCCTCACACGTGACCTCGATCCTGAACTCTTGGTTTCAGCAAACAAATGAATATGAAGGCACATATAATGCATACGCGTGTCTCGCTCTCAATTCTATCTCTAAATAGCAGTCCATTTGTAAATGTGTGTAGACCATCGTGTGGAGTTTTTAACGAGTAAATTTATCCAAAATCGGAAATGTGCTGACAGATTTTTAACAAATTTTTCCCTGCATAAAATTTCAAGAAAATCCGTCCAGGCAGACAGACGTGGCGAAGCAATCGAGCACATTTTCTCGACTTTTAGTTTCCAGGGCGCTTAAAATCGAGGAGCCCGTATTTGCGAACCCACTGCCCGATATGCAGACTTTACATCCAACAAGTGTGTATAAAATGGCTTTAAAATAAATTCCAAGCTTCGTCTTCCAATTTCTCTACTCCTTTAAAACTCAATGGTAACTATATGTACCACCTGCTTTAACAATAATTAACTAAAAATTATTCCTATGATGTGTATTTATGTGTTTCGTATAATTCTCAGTGTAAACAGCGATTATTTCCTTAAACAGCGTTAACCAGTTGATCTTTGTAATGGTTACGTGTAGTGTTTTCTTCGCGGTACGGACTGAATCTTTAAATATCATTCAGATGCCTACGTAGTGTATCAATGTTTTTCGTGTGATTCTCATTAAAAACAGCGATTATTTCCTTAAACAGCGTTAACCAGTTGATCTACGTAATGGTGAAGTGTAGTGTTTTCTTCGCGGTACGGACTGAATCTTTAAATATCATTCAGATGCCTACGCAGTGCATCAATGTGTTTCGCGTGATTCTCATTAAAAACAGCGATTATTTCCTTAAACAACACCGACCAGTTGATGTTGGACTAGGAGTTAGAATTTTAAATATTAGCGTATTTATATTTTCTTCAGCTTCAAAGTGTTAAGACAACATTTGCCCTTACCAATATTAGACCGTCAGAAAGGTCATCCAAACCATTCATTTCAACGAAGAATTTGCTGAATCACAAACAAAAAATTTCGTAACCCGGGCTTATAACATTCCGCACCTGCTATAAGCCGTCTTTTTAAACACTGCAGCAAATAATCTTTTGAGCTCCGATTTATCTGTGTTCTATTCAAAATGCAGTCAAGTCTGCGTTTGTAGACTAAAACAACAAACATTAGTTTTACTAACGAGAAACGTGCTGTTTTTGATAAAGACCCAAGCAATCTCAGCTGGAATGGTTTTCGGAGAAAGTTTTGTTTATTTTGATATTTAAATAAAAGGAGACTCAAAAATTGACCTTCGGAAAGCGTTCACATTCTGGCTGGTAACCCAACAGTAGGAAAACAAAAATTATCACAGCGTTGAAGATCTTCTTGAACGTTTAACAGAGCAACGACGCACTTAAACCTGCTTTTACTCCCACGATAGATGAGTCAGAGACGAGACAACTCGTGAGGCGGTGATATATGAGTATGGAGAAAACTCTGATCGTAATCTCGAGGTCACATCTCATTTAACCAGGTCTACGCCACGAGAAGACAGAACAACCTGAGCTACAGTTCTCTCCTAATACAGCGAAGATTTCTGATATTTATCTTAGCGTAAATCAAACCTTTTTTTTTTTAATCTTTTGGGGGTTAGAGTGAAATATCGGTACATTTCATAACAAGGCTTCCTTCTGTACAATATTTTACAGATTTCCAGCAGTTCAAAATGTAGTTGAGTGGGAGAAGAAAAGAAAGGCACAGAGAATTTTTATTGAGAATTCTCTTGGAAGACTGAGGAAATTTGAAGGATATCATTCAGAAGGATTTTGCAGAGTCGACTATAAAGATGGACGACACTCCAAATTATCCGCAAGTAAGGAAAATAGAAAAAGGCCTTTGTTAATATTTTATAAATAGGCATATTTCGAATTTAATTTTTAGAACACCTACTTAAAATTCAAAACCTGTTAACGACAGGAAGATGGAAAATATATGATAATGAAATAAAAACCTAATCTCATTACCACTGACTATAGAAGCTCTCTGGTAGCGAGCTACGCTGCTACACGCGGTTTCTAAATTTTGAAAATGTATCTTTCAAAATCCCGCAAAGAAAAATCATATTTGCCATATTTAACCTTACATCCTTTTTCCTTGCAAAAATCTAATAAACGTGAGTTATCCCACTGTTGCTCAGAGGTCTTCAAATACGGAATTTGATTTTCGAGTTATTTCCTAAATCACAATCGTCTGATTTCAAGTATGAATTCAGTTACACGCGGTGCAGAATTTAACGCTGCTAATTGACACAATAGACGCGCTGTTTTTCACTTTGTCTCTGATGCGTTCAGAAATAGACGTAAGAATTTCCTTGACGTCGGCACGAATTTATGATCTGTGTAAAACGCGGAGGCTGGATGATTCTTGTACAACAAACACCGGCACGGATTTACTGTCCAGCTAACTTTCTCGCGTTCAGATGAGAACTTGCAAATAAACTTGTTCAAGCCGCAGAAGGAACTCTTTCCTAATTTTATACTTCTTTACATATTCCCAGTTCTAACTCCATTTTAATATAAAGAAGACAGTATTTTGCTATTTAGAATTTTAACATAATTATTATATACACTACATAAGTGGAGGCTGATCCGATAGGCTGGACATGTGGCATGCATGGGGGGGGGAGGCAAGGGGTGAAAAATCCGTCTGGAAAACGACCACTGGCTAGACCAAGAAAAAGATGGGAGGATAATATCAAGATGGATCTTAGGAGATAGGAGGCTGGAATGCGCCCCAGAACCGGTCTGGACGCGGAGGCTACATTACAGTGACCAGGAAACTGTGTACATTTTTCTAGGTTCTGTGGACATTTCATAACAACAAAATCAGCGATAAAGTCTAAATACAACAAGTCATGCACTGAGTTTGTTTGCCAAAATTTGAATTCTGACCGTTGAAAATTGTGCCGGTGACGTCACAGTTGCCTGGAGTCAATTACATTTCACCCACTCGTCAGAGCACCTGCTGGTCCCTACCTGTGCTAGTTTAATCCACGGGTGGAATTACCTCATCGTCTCCAGGGCAGAAGTTAGACAAGTAGTGATTTGGGTCAGTTATATAAGAATGGTGGTCAGTGAGTACTTTTGACATAACCTATAACATCCAAATTCTTATCTGTCTCACTGTTACCCTGAATATGGCGCTACAATCCACAATTCACCGCCGTGAAAACTTCAAATCTTATCAAATGTTGAACAACGACGTAGTTACATCCACGAAATGTCACAAACGCCTATTATTACTCTATTTTATAATTACATTGTTTCTACAGACATAAAACATGTGTATATTTACCCAGAAGTAGATTCAAACCGTGCAACAGTATCCGGTCTGCACACTAGTAGACATTCATCCTCTTGAAGCTTCATGAATATAGTTTGAAACTCAACAGACGGCGACACAATTAAGCTTCATTAATGAAAGCGTACACAAAGCAACAAAAGAGAACAGTTATAATATTAAAATGTAAGTATATTCCAGGATTTTTCTTTCTGTTTTATGTTGCCGCAATTTTACTTCCGTGCCGTTACTTTCTTGTTATTGAAACTAAGAAACTAGCCACCAGATAGCAGATATGTGCAAATATATGCTTCCCTCTATGGATGAACAATGAAAACATTCAACAAATTTACCGAATTTCCCACCAAACCGCCGGTCCGAGGTAAAAAATGAAAATAAAAAACCCGAATATATGAAATTAATTTCTGCATCAAATCCTTGTGTAGAAGTTAGAACTCCACTCGCATTTGTGCTGTATTCTATTCATATCTCGGCTGACGCCATACACAATAGCAAAATTATCATATTTAAAGCGAATAAAATAGTTCTTATAAACAGGTTATGATATTACCAACTAGATTGATCTGACTTGTTAGAGGAACGTGCGGCAGGATCTATAAATGGGAGGACACTTCTTGACTAACTGAACAATTATAACTCTACTGCACAAGAAATTGTAGGATGTAATGAACTGGGAATAACTAAAATCAAGGAGTAATGGGCCACTTCATAATACCAATCTGCTGTTTGTCTCAAAGGAACTGGGGGGAGACCAATAAACAACTCTGCCAAGCAATTAACCATCCATACCCAAACCATAGACTTTTTGAATGAAACGTAAATGCTGTTTGACTGAATCAAATGTACTTTATGTTGTTTCAGTTGTGAAACATAAAGTTCATCAATGTTTATAAAAGATGTTTTTATTACCCATTACACATCACTACTATCCCAAACAACCAAAACACCAACACGGAAAGACACACACTAAAGCCGATAAATTAAGTAAATACAAACAGAAACTAACTTACTTCTTCAATGTTTTCTACTGAACATTTTTTTTCCAAAGTGCCTATTTTGCACTAACAGCTTACAACTACAAACTAATATAGTAGCTGACATGGTCTTAAAATTATTAAACTTACTTCAACATTATTTGATGTAATACTTCATGGATCAAAATTTATCTTACATAGGAGTGCAGCATTAAACAAATCAAAGAAAGAGGTGAGCTAGGCAACACATAAGAAAATTCAGAAAATTTGGTTGAGACTTGACGTGTTACAAACAAAATGGTGCTATTCACTCTTCCTGAAGAATTCTTTCCACCAAAATTACTGCAGCCTTCAATACTTCAGTACTTAGTAATTTTAGTATAGAGCATAGCATGAAGTAAGATACATATAACATGTCTAGATTTCCTCAAACATATTTTCTATGGACAAATAAAAATGTTTTAAAACCCAACATACTTCTGAGCAGCCCTTACTTACACGACAGAATTTAAAATGTACAATCATCTCACACATTATCCCTTTACGGCCAAAGATAATGCAAATAACATTTAAAAATGTAGTCAGTAATTCAAATTAAACAATTAAACCATTACAAAGGTCAACTTGTTAACGCGGTTCACGGAAGTAATCGCTGTTTATGCTGAGAATCATACGAAACACATAAATACAAAATACTTACCCCAGCTTGAAAAAAATTATAACATGAAATGCTAAACCATACTTAGCAGCTTTCCTATAACAAAACTTCATCCTTTTTAGAATTTTCTGTACTAATCACTATTTCATCCATTACCTACTTCCTACTTGAAATTTTTATAATTAAAACCGCAATCGAGAATAATCGGTGTAACTAGCCATTTTCGCCATCTTATCAAACTCTCTAAAAGAGATTCCTACGCGGACAGAGATATCAGTTATTATTCTTACACCAACCATCTTATCGTACCGACAAACAACTCGTATACATTCGATAATTTATGCTTGCAAAAAACGTTTCTCAAATAAACGTCCAAAGCGGTGCATGCGACAGAAAACATACTTGTCTCGTTCCTTCGACCTTCTTTACCGCAGATAAAATTAAAAGAAAAGTTGTGCTTCCCTTCATAAATGTTTAACAAAGTGAATCATATTTCCATTCCGTTCAGTAACGCAATCCAGAATCAGTATCTGAAATTGTCACTAGTACATGGTCGATCTCTAAATTCCTAGCAAATGCTGCACAAATCAAAACATTTTGCAGTATGCGCGCAGATGTGCTTGGAATAATTAACGCGCTTCTGAATATTAAATTACAATTTTATCTGCTCACAAGTCATTAAAAATATTACCTAGTAACTGAGTCAATTCCTTACAAATTTTCTCTGATCATGTTCCAGAAAATTCAGTCATGAAAATAATTTTATTATTAGTTTATGCCCTGAAATAAGTATCAAGGGAAAATCATAACTGCGATGTTTGTAATACTTTAAAATTCAGCGATGATATGAAAGCTACAGATATATGTCATATACACGACAGAAACACTGATCAGGGCACCTCACAGGCAGCGCAAACGTTCGAACAGCGGATCCATCCAGCCATTTCAAAACTCTTCACCAGTGTTACCAACAGAAACGCTGTAATGTGGTAGGGAAAACTGACTCACCAAATCGTGAAGTAACAACGTATCAAGAAACATTTCATTCCTATTATACTTTTTTTTAGGAAATGTTAATTTTCTCCAACATTTAGAAAAGATTTACAAAATTGTAAAATTCACGGATGCTTCAAATTATGTAGACGTTAATCCAAGAGTGCACACTGTATAAAATTCCATGGGGAAGTGATCCATGAAAAGTATCTGATGAATAATAATTGAAAGTCTGTGGCCAGTGTTTAATTTTTACTGTGAAATTTCAAACAAAAAATTCTGACAAATAACATATATTTTGAAGGCATTTAAATAATATAATCTGGATTTAATTTTCAAATCACAGAATATGGATTTCATTGCCAATTTTTCATTCACCGAATACCTCCAATAGAGTGAGGTACCATCGACGGAAGCAGCGCTAGAAGTAGAAGTGGAAGTAACGTGGGCTACCTACGTGATGGGCGACATATTACTCTCTCGTGACGAGAAGGATGCGACGTCTGTTTGCGGTACTTTAAATTAACATATTTCATCGTATATCTTCAAATTATAATTAAAAATTGATTATGCCTTCTAAATTTCTGTTACTTTATCTTTACATCAAAGAAATAATTTATATAAAGTAAATTTCATTAAGTTGTCTATGACATTTTTTCCTGCAGTAACACTATCGCTTCATTCAAGCACTTTGAATATTTATGTAAATATGAACAACAAACTTTTAACAAGTGATGGCATTATCAATAAATCTATAATGCCAGAACGTAAATAAAAAACAAACAAATAATATTTAAGATGCGCCGTTTTTTTGTATTCATTTTATGCTATGGATGCAATTAGATGCATACGGTGAAAAGTATTTTGTACTATGAAAACAGTATTTGAGATGAAAACTGCGTATCACATACACGAAGGTGGGAAATTTTATTGTGATTTCTCACTGATGGCCTACCGCCTATGTTGCTATTATAGTAAGCATCTTACTTCTTTTAAGGAGAATTAAAAACAGTGTCAATATACCTCTGTCCCTTGCAATGATATCAAAAAATAAAAATGTTTACCAAGGGACAAAATACCAAGACTAGGTACTAAACATTTCTAATTAAAGCTATAAATTAAAGAACTCTAATGCATCGAAACATAAAGAGGAATTAATGATAAGATGCATCACATAATGCAAGGAGTAACCGCTGGATATTACAGTGCCTTTACATTTCAAGATCAAAGATCAAATCACTCCCAAATTCAATCTGGGGAACTCCGGAGACACTGGACTGCAGAGCTGTTGCTCCTTTCCGATTCTTCTTCTTTCCTTTGCTGGGCAACTGTTTAGATGGATTTGCGGCACTAAGTGGCTGTAACTCGGCATGAGACGGCTTGCCCGCATCTTCTTCTGTCTTATTAGGCTCTTTGCTGTCTTTGACTGCTGGACTGGAATCCCCACCGTCACAGCCGGCTGACAGTTCCTCGTCTAACCCGATTTCACTCTTCTCCTTTTCGTCGTCAGTCTTTTTATCTCTCTCCCGTTCTTTTTCAGCTTCTCCTTCTGAATTTTCACTCTCGCTTGCACGACGTTCCTGACAGCGTCTCTTGTTCCGCATTTTTCGTTGGTTCTTTTTGCGCTGACCCAATATGCTCGAGTTGGTCCTGAAGTTCACATTCCAGAATACATATTTAATTTCATATGACAGCAAATTTGGAACACAGCATAAACTAAAAAGAATATCTTTCATTTTGACTTACAAGGATATGGATTAACGAATCTACGAAGTCCAGGGACGGAACAATAAAACAGAACAAGACATTGCTTTAGAAATGAAGCATAAGTAACCTCATTCACCCTACCAAACACTGTTAACACACAATATTAATGCAATGTGTCACCTGTTTAATATCTTTTTAAAAAGTAGGCAACAGATTTAACCATACTTAATAAATTATCTTAATATAAACAACGTAGACTTCTACTATTAAAAAGACTAAATGTAAAACTGTAGTAAAGTCCGGTACTGTCCCTAACTTGCGTAACATGATAGATCACAAATACAACAAAAACTAAAGTAGGACGTGAAGTTTTCATGGCGACGTGAGTTACAACAGCGAACACGGGATCCTTGGTGGAACATCCAACATCACCTTCACTCTGAAGGCTATATAGTGCAACAACCCAAAAGACTGAAGATGATTGTCTTATGTGATGTTGGACCGTGTATCTGGTCAAAGTTCACTGATGTTTCAGAGGCATTTTCTGCCTCCATCAACAGGGCAATGAAACATCTGAAACATTGGTAAAACATCTACCATACCACACACCACAACCCAGAAAACAGTCATATTCATTCTTGGTACTGTAAGAACCCAAAATCTCAACCTGGAAGATGTATATATTAAACAAGAAATTTAATTTCATGTGAACATGAGCTCAGAGAGTCGGCTGACAAACCTGTAAGTCTTTTGTGATACAACTTCATTGAAACGCACAGTCTTCTTGACTTCTCTCTCCTCCTCGTCCTCCTCCGTCACCTCTTCCGGAATGCGCGATTCTGAACCAGACTGTGTTACCATGTCCAGAGACGATGACCACACATAATCATCCATACTCGACTCTGAGAGGCTACGGATAACTCGGCCATTATTTTTCAAAATTCCCTTCTTATTGGGGCTAAAACTCTAAAACAAATTTAAGGAACAAAATGATGAATATATCATCTTAGTGTGTTCTACTGAAAAGTTACACTGCAGTGTACATCACCACAAGCAGAAACATTTGATGCATCATGCATGTTTGATCCAACATCAATATCTGTTAGAAGTTCGAGTAAAATCGATCACGCATCCACTACATACACCGTCCACGTCATTCATCTTAATTTCGACTCCATCGTAACATCCTATTTGCTATTAATGTGTGGTCATAAACAACTTTTGCCATCCCTAATACTTACGGATTCATCTCCACTTGATTCAGATACGGACCTATACTTCTGTGGCACCCTGTTATCATCACGAAACTGAGAAACTGCTTCAGCATTCTGGTAAATTTCAGTTCTTGTGTTGGCGCATTGCTGACTTGAAGCGACACCAACTAGTGATTCAGTAATATTTGCTTCAATATCATTATCCTCATTATCAACAGCAATGAGTTCTTCCTTATTAATTTTATCTTGAGAAATCTCAATAACAACTTCATTTTCACTAAATGCGGTTACTTCTACATTCATGTCTTCATCTGAAGTGTTATTAAGAGCCTCGATCTGGAAACAATATTACACGTTAATAACATCCATCCTGACATTTATACACAAGCAGAATGCACGCTATTACAAAACTGTACGAAATTTAAAATAAAGTGACAATGACAATAATTTTATAAATTATTGAACAAAAGGTAACGAAATCATTTGTACAAAATATGTCTGGAGAATACAGGACAGTGAATAAGAATCTGTGGCCATCTTGGTAACCACATAATATTTTACTGAATGGTTTCCTAGAACAGTGGTATTCAACCTGGGGTACGTGTACCCCCGGGGGTACGTGAAGACATCTTAGGGGGAACGTGAAATTTAAAAAAAATATATTATTTTATGATAAACACTGAATAATCAGTAATGCAATTTATTTAATTTATTTTAGATTATATACTACGTATAACTTGAATTATACACCAACAACTTTGGGGGTACAAAGTTGAAGAGAAATTATATCTGGGGGTACGCGAACAAAAAAGGTTGAATACCACTGTCCTAGAAGGTATCATCTACCAGAATTGTTTCAACAAATCTCAAGACTATACTGTCATACAAAATGGACCCATCACCCTGATGATGGAGGCAGCAAGCACTTCTGCAACAACACAGAAGACAGCCACCTACAACATGCTTCAACTCGTAAAAGGTCATCATCAGGGGTCAATGTCAAAGAAACTTGGAATGGTTAATCTCAAGATGACCTTCTAAGGTCGAGACATGTTGGGTTTGTAATAAATACAATTCCAGCCTGCATTATAATTAGTAGTAATTCTTCTTTGAATTAAATGGATTACTTGCTGAATGAGTCTTAACTGGATGCAAATAACTGTGATGTTAGTGATAGTGGTGATAAAACTATTAGCGTAACTGTTTTAGTTATTAGCAGGTGACCATTTGTTTACAAATCATGTGTGATTAAGAAAGGAAGGTTATGTTTTAGTAACTGTGATAACAAGCTGGTAATTGTGTAAATGCTCACTGGATATTCATTTAAACTCCAGGTATCCTGACACTCAAGTAAATGTATGAGTTTAGAGGTTACAATTCTTTTCTGTTGTGAAAAGTTTGCTTCATCTGAAAAAGTTTTCAGAAGCTGAGCTGCACAGACAAATAATCTTCAAAGTGTAAAAAGTTGTGAAAATTTCCATAGAACAAGTAAACACCCTAAATTCTATGTGAAATTTGGATTTAAGTGCAGAATATATTTTAAGGCCCCACACGATACGTTTCAGTGCAGTTTATAAATTCACAGTTCTACATATAAAATGATTCAATGTGATTTTTTGTACTCTAGACTGGTGGTGCTTGGTGAATGGGTATGGATGTGTAAGCATGGCTTACGAGGGATGTAAACTCCATTCTTTGCCTTCACTGAACTTAAAAACACAGCGATGGAAAAGTATGAAATACTGAAAAACAAAATTTGGGGATGAAATTCTATGCATTAAAAAAATATATAAATGATCATCCAGGTTTGAAAGATAATCCAAACTGAAAAGGCATATTAAAACAAAAGATGTTTCACAAGTGGATGCAGATAATATAAGATCGTACCAAGAAGGCAGGACAACCAAAATCAGGAAAGAATAAATGTGAAGGGAATGATTTGAATACACCCAAGAAGGCAGGACAACCAAAATCAGGTAAAAATAAATGTGAATACAGTTTTTACCACAAAAAACTCTTTTGAGGAAAATAACTTGTGTCTACTCACTTTAAATCTCTCCAGTTTCCTAACAGATGCTGCTGGTTCTGGAAGATCATACTTTGCCATTGAACTGACATCTGCTCCGGCCCAGTATTCCACCACATTCGTATCACAAGGCTTCAACTGAACTTGTAATATAACATTGTTATCCCATGCTTCTGCACTACACGATTCTTCACATATAGAAATGGGACATGGGAATTTCATGCAGAAAGCATAGTGAATGGGGAAGAAACCCGAACCTACTGAGGAGAATCGAAGATGAATACCACGTTCATCTTCACGCAAGAAACAGAATTCTATGGATTCTGGTTCCACATTCTTAACATGAAGGGTAAATGCAATAAGGTTGTCCACAACATTACAAGTAAATGGAGGAAATATATAATGCACATCTGGATTCAAGAATTTATTCTTATTTGTGTTCATAGTCCGATATGCCTCATCACACGTAATTTCTAGTAACGCTATTTCCTCTCCCTTAATTTCTACTAAAGAATTGTGGTTCCTAACACTGTCATCTTCCTCACTACCAGACTCGGGAGTTCGATGACCCAGGTCACTTTCTACACCACTGTCCTCGCGCCCAATATCAGCCAAATGCAAGTAATTTTCATGTCTGACTGACAGTGTTATCACCAACTTCCTTGAACTATGGTCAAACTTAGCACTTCCTGCTTCTTCATGAACTGCATATGGCAATAACAAACTAAGTTTGTATTTTGCTGGCTTTTCACTTATAAGTGATACAGATTTCTGAGTAACATCTAGAACCATATCTGCTGATGAATTCAATAGAGGCAGTTGTACTTCAATTATCAGTTGCTTTGGTACAGTTGCATTCAACTTTGCATCCCTGTCATATGAAAAATCTTGTATGTCAATTGACTGCCTGTGTTTTATCACAAACAGTGGAGTAGTGTATGGTGTTTCAGTACTAGAAGTGTTTCCAACTTTATTTTCATTACCTCTTTTATTCTGCTTGTCATCTTTTGCTTGTTCTTCTGTGCCTTCAACAGGAAATCTGTAAGGGTAAACATCATCTGGTATAGAAAATTCTTCCTTCATAACAGGAACATTATCAATCTTCTTCCTGATTACTGATGGTGTAGGAGACCCTTTGTATTTCATTTTTGGAAATTTTAGATTTTTCCTGTCAATCTGTACATGAAAATTGTCTTCAACAGCATCCAGTGCAGTGTTGTTGAGCATTTTCTTGAATTCTGCATTGTTTACTGCCAGTCGATGTGTATCTGGATGGAACACAACATCAAAAACAGTGCACCGATTCCCATTTTTATCCAGATCGTCTCTTGGTGGGGCCTGCGTCAATGGGAGAGACCAATTGAGTCCTCTGGACCCTGATTTTGTCATTGGTACCGATGTCGGTTTGCCGACTTTGTCATTTTGGCAAATATTTATAAACGCCTTCTTCTGGCCATCAACACTGGATTTTATCACATAGCAAGGTTCTGGATTGATAAATGAAATATCAATTCCTCTCTCCTTCTCAAGTTCTGTAATTTCTTTTTCGTACTGCTTCTTGTTTTCCGGGTCATTAATTTCTTCCACATATTCCATCAGAAGGTTTCGAAATTCTTCCTTCTTCAAAGCAGCACCAAGTCTTTCCACCTCATCACTAGTCAAATCCAGGTCATCCCACGACGAACTTTTCCGCTGTCGTGCCATTTCCTCACTGAATTTTAAACTGATAATACTACACGCAAATCAACAACACCACCAAACCCAATTGCCCACTGGTCAGATATAAAACGCTAGAAACTTCGACTACCAGTTTACACTGGTAATACCAATACAAGCAAGACGATTAGCATACCCGAGTGAGCCGGTTCCGGAATAAACACCATTAAAAACTATAAATAGATTTGTGTTTACAAATGTCAAGAACAATATCGTAATAATAAAATATATGGTCTATTTTATAAGTTATATCAATCTAACAGAATTATATATGTAAGTGTTACTTTCATTGACCCTTCACACTGGTAATCAGCTGTATACATTCCTCACGCCATTGTTGATCTGCTATCTCTAGTTTGTATTAAAACTTCATAAATATTATAAGTGAATTTTTCGGACGGCGAGAACAGTCTTATTTAATTTTAATAACGATAGTTTATTTTTCGCATTTATTTTGAATCAGAACCTCAAACTCATTTAGGGAACTTCCGATTCTGAATTAATCATAACGTGATTAAAGAGTTTTTTTTAATAATTTCAGTATACTTTCGAGTTGCATTTTTATGACATAAAATACGTTTTATTTTAACTGGCGTGTCTTGCATATTAAACCACTGTAAATTGCATTATCACAGGTCAATAGCCACTGCGACATTATTTCAAGGCTTCCTTGTTGGGTGCCGGCACTTGTGAGCTGTGCTGCCATCTATAATAGTTTATACATACTCATTTCAGGTAACACATCTACCAACACTTCAACAAAGATGATACTATTTTATTTTTAATATACAGAATCTCAGATGTTACATATGCGACGTAGAAGCGTCTTAGGAAGAGGAATAATAATATTTTGGTAAGACTATTACACAAATTATTTCGGTTAAGCAATCTCATAGGCATAGAAGTACTTGCAAATATGTAAATCCAATGCTATTGGTTGGTAACGAAGCGCCGTGCTGCCACCTATGAACTGAAGTAAATACAAAGATGACCTATCTGCGGTATAAGCAGTAGCTCAGTCGGTTATGGGTGCATGCAGTCAAGATTCTAAATATTGCTATGCGAACGTCTTTCGAAAACACAGAGCCCTTTAAAAGCTTCTCCTAGTTTTATAGAAGGCAGACTTCATTTGTTAAGATTTGCAAACATGGCGATGGCGCTTACGTATAAAAACAGTCTGAGCTACTGTTAGCCTAAAAAATAAACCATAAATAAGAGTAATCATGAAAAATTTAACGGTGAGAATGCTCATTGAATACACCAATGATTATTCCGTTCTACCAAAGAAATCACCATTAATCCTGAAACCCGCTAAGGCTGGGTTCATCTAGCTCAAAACATGGGTCCACCGTCAGGCCATAAAAGGCGACAGGAAAGTTTTTTTTAAGCAGCCGACCGATCATCAGATCCTAAAAGGATTCTCATCCATGGAGGCAGATGCCAAGGATTATCAACCTTGATTTTTCGACGAAGTGTCAACTGAACAACAGTTATAACCAAGTCACGTGACTGTCCCCTCGTCCCCGAGGTTAGAAAAGTGACTTTCCAACAGTAGGCCAACCACTTTCATCTGAAAGCGTCGTCGTACAGCCAGCGAACATCATGACCTACAAAAACATGGACCTCACAACCGCTTAGCTAGCCAGTTCGGGTCGATTAATATCCCTTCACTTTTACTGTGGCATGTCGAAGAGAGAGGCAATGGACAACGCGAGAATCATCTTGCCATGATACATTCACGACGTTTTACTTATCCGTGGTTTCTAATTATCGTAGCTCTGATGGCCGGTACTGGAATGTTAATATTAAATGTGCAAAATCCGTGGAGGAAGAACGACATCTTGGTTACAAAGGCAAAGTTCCCTGTAGTGACGCCATCAGTCCGAAGAATTACGAAGTCTTTAACGGAACTGAGACAAGACGCCCGAGTTCCTGAACTCAGCGGCCATGTTTTGTTCTTCAACAGAGTTCCCAAATCGGGAAGTGAAATGTTGGTTCTTTTGCTACAGTGGCTGCAGGGAGCGAATAGTTTTCGTCATATTCGTCTCGGAGGAGGAAATGTGAGGAAGCTTAACAGAATTCAGCAGGTAAGTAAGTCTTTTCCCATCACCTTCTATTTATTACGCTCGTCGAAAAATCCCCTGGTTCAAAACTCGTCAAGGAAATCGGCATTAATAATGCAAGTGCTTTTTCTCAGTTACTCCAGATAAGACAGACCACCTTTATTTTCCCGAATCATCACAATAATCAAATCTTCATAACGAAGGTAATTGAAAATTATTAATTTATAAACACGTATCAAAACTTATAATTAACTACTTCAATTCAGTTCATATTTTTATAAACTACTTTCATTAGACCCTCCTTGGTGGCCATCCAATCCCCCCCTTCTAGTCTACCAAACCCTTGCACAGGCCACGAATTACAAATTTTGAAAATTTTTAATTTGATGACCGATTCGGTTCTCGCTTGTAACCTGCAATGTTTGTTTTTGTTGACACTAAATATCATAAAATGCCGATCCACTCGCAATGCTCAAACGAAAGACTTTATATGCTTTATTTCTGAACAGACGAACATCGCAATACGCAATTTAATACTTTAATAACATGAAATGTTCAAGATCGCTTGTTGCATGATTATACAGCTGTATAATTTCTGAATCTTAAAACAATTTATTTTGGGCGAACCAAAATCTTCATAAACCTCGGAGATCTTAATTGTTGTCGATGTTGGTATTTTGGATTGTGAAATCGTGTGCAGACCAACATGGACGCCGTCAGAATCTGCAACCTGACTTCTTAATGGTTCTTGTCCGTTTTCAGGAGGAATTAGTGGAGACAGTGACAAGGAAAGTTCGAGACGAAGCAGTGCCCGTGACCTTTGACCGGCACGTGTACTTCCTCAATTTCAGTCACTTCGACCGGCAGTCTCCAACTTATATCAACCTCGTGAGAGATCCTGTCGAGAAAGCGGCTTCAAGGTCAGATCGAATTAAAGTCCAGCGAGTTTCGCGCAAAAATGACTACCAGGTCTATCAGTGTTAGTTTTCGGCGAAATACGCAGAGATTACTAACTACGGATGCACGAAAATGTGAGATTATGAGATTACGTAAAATGGACTGAATTCAATTTAAGCCTACTTCCAACAAATTTTATTATAATAAAACGAATTTAAAATACACTCAATTGCTGTGGGCATTGCCGACTTTAAACATGTCAAACCAACAATTTCGTTCAGAAAATGAATATTGTCTTCTGTTTTAGAATTTCCACCGTAATTTATCATTCCCATCGTTGAAACGCCATAATTTAAATGTTACATAAAACATTTATTACCACTTCCATTATTTAATACCAGAGTTCTTAGAGCAGAAACAGATGTTTCATAATGAGATTTTCGTTTGTAACACGGAAAAAATTTGAAAATACTGAACTTGAACGGTGTATAATTTTTGGCACTAAATTTCCTTCTTACTAAATAAAAATAACGCCATGACTCGGTCTCCAAACAACATTTTTATTCGTAAATGTTCCGACAACGTGAAAGTAAAACCTTTTCTCTTTCAATACATTACTCCTTTTTTGTAATATTTTTCCTTCCATCAAAAGACACTACAGAAGAGTGGAAGGAAAGTCTAATTCACTTCTGTTGGACTCTGCATTTAAATGACGACATTTCATAAGCGAAGTTTTACACGATGTATTACGTAACGCACTCCTACTATGACGCACACTTAAAGTTCAATCCGTTCCTACGAACGTGATTTATTGATTAGTGAAGGGCAATCATTTCGCGGTTTGCGAGTCTCCACACAAATACCAAGAGGTCTCTTCCCCTCATGTTTTCCTGACAGTCGTATATTTCTCTTAGCTGCCATGCATGCTATATGTTACGCCAATCTTTGGTCTTCGTAAGAGAATTTGGTAGAGTACAGATTATATTTTCTTTCCCTCATTTCTATTTTTCAAGAAAATTATATCAATATCAGAGAACAACATACTTACTTTTACAATTTATGTTTGAGAACAGACGTGTAGACAGATCAGTCCATCTCAATCATGTTCATGTTGGCACAGGTTTTACTACGCACGTGTAACGCCAAATCCTCGCAGTCCAGATCTACAGGACGCACCACAATTAAAATCTAAAGAATTTAGAAGTAAAAGTTTTGACGACTGCGTCCAATCAGGGGATCCCGAGTGCGCCTACAACGCTGGAAAGACGTACGACCTCACCATCCCATACTTCTGTGGACACCAAGACTGGTGCACGTGAGTTCAGACCTTCGCCTTGGTAATTCCTATGGAAGTTTCAACGGGGAATCTGAAATGGTGAAAGGTCAACCGGAAGTACTTGGGGTTGTATCGAACGAGTTATTATTTAGTGTTCTGTCTGACGACAGGTCCATATGAACAGGATCCTTCCATCCTTTTCTCGGACTCGGACCTGTTCATATACGTTCTTGGCAGATGCTCCAGAAGTGGTTTGCCATTGCCTTCTTCTGTGTGTGAATGGAGTAATTGTTGGGATGCCACGGAGGAAAACTCCGTGTTGCCTAGACCACGGCCTTGCCCAACACAAGTTATAAATTCGGGCACCGCCAGGAATCGAACCCGAGACCCCAGGATTACAAGGCCAGCGTTCTAACCGCTAGACGAGTATTATAATAAATTAAATTTGCACTTTCGTTCCTGACCTTTTTAAATGTTTCAGGTTACTTAACGAACAGCGAGCTCTGGAAACAGCTAAGGCCAACGTGGAACGTTATTTTCCAGTCGTCGGCATTCTGGAGGAATTGAACGCCACCCTGGCTCTATTAGAAAAACGTCTTCCGTACTTTTTTCGAGGAGTCCAGAAAATTTACTTCCAAGATTTAATGGGTATGACATCATCCTGATTCCCATTGAGACATGAAGCTCGTATATTAAATTTAAATTATGAGATTTAAGGTCTTCATGGCGGTGAAAACGAGAATTTTCTCTCTCTTGATTCCATGTAGGCGGTTGGAAGTAATTTCTACCCTGAAGACAGAAGTGATACTTTCCTCCAATGCGTTCCTATGAACCTATAAGACTACAGGATGTCAGAACCCAGAAGAATACGATTCAAAATTTTCGCCTCTCAATACATTTAATTTCCAGAATTACTGAATGAATTATTTTCGTTTCTTAAAACATTTTCTGCTTATGACATTTTTGTATTTTTTTTTTAAGATTTGATCTGTCAGTATACGAGAAAATACATTTAACTAGACTCCCATCTAACATACGCGGAATTGTACAGATTTCACAGAGTACAATTTTTTTTTATAAATATAATTGACTAAATTATGAATGATAATAAAATTTACAATCGACGTTTCGTCATTACAGAACCACGCCACAACAGGAATCCGAAACGTCCACAACACGTCAGCCGTTCTACTCGTAAATACCTCGAAAAGGCACTCGATTCAGAATACGACTTCTACTACTGGTTACGGGCTCGTCTTTTACAACAGCGCAGTGCACTGACGCCTCACCAATAGAAAACTGTCACGTGACGAGCGCAGAGAACGAAACAGTTGTCGGTGTCCCGTCTTTTCAAGGTCAGTCTCCATCTGCAGCTGACAAAACTGAATAAATGTACGAACTTTCTTCCAAGTACACTCAAACGCTGTTAAGTTCTCCGTTCGTATTTTATTCTTCAAGAGCAATTTCATTAACCTTAAATAACAAGCAAAGTATTTTCATCCGGAAGAAACAACTTCTTCCAGAAATTCTTTTTATAAAGAAACATCTATCAATACATCAATTGTATACCCAAAGCGCAATATCCTACTGTCAGACAAAACAAAACACAAATTTACGATATCAATCGCACCAGACTACATAAAATGTAAAACCAGGTATATAAATCACCGTGCTCGGCAAGAACAGCCTCTTATCACGTTTCTTTAGGCATCGCGTCTGACTTAAGTCCTTCTTACTGATCACCAAAGAAACGTAAATACAATGAAGTGGAAATTTCCCCCTTCTTCCTTTCCGATACTCAACAAGTTTTTTTTTACGGGGAACTGGGGCACGTTTCTCGGGGTCAGTACAAAGTTCATCAGACGACAGAGTTACGAGCTCCGGCAAATATCATATAAAATTCTCACTGTCCTCTTCTCATAGCAATTTTTACGTCAACAATCTTCGCGATAAGAGCGAGATATCCTCACCAAATTACGAGTACAAACTTAAAAACATTTTTAAATCAAACTCAATGAATAGCCGATGGTTTGGGAAGCTGTGAACATAAGTGATAATTAACGTCCTGGGAAAATACCTACGTGGAGAACAGTCGACCTTGAGAAGTTCCGATGTCCTTAGCAAATGGATAGTATCAAGGAAGGCGTGAGTCAATGTAGAAAGGACTTGTATAGGTTGGATTTTGGATTTTCCCTCCAGCCTCTGCGTCCAGATCGGTTCTGGGGCCCACCCAGGCTTCTGTCCGGTGGGCACCGGGACCTTTCCCTGGAGTAAAGGGCGGCCTGGGCATTACGATGACCACTCATCGCCATCTAGTGCCCAGGTCAAGAATGAGTAGGAGATATTCCTGCTTTCCCCCTAAGCGCCTACGTGTCACAGTCGCATTACAAGTAAAACCTTGTCTTCTGGGATGTCGCCGTGTGCAGAAGATTACGGACATTTCAGAGGTGCCTGCTGCCTGCATTATCGAGGTGACACATCGCCAGGATAGAGACGACAAACGCCGCGACATCCCAGAAGTCGGTCTTCATACCTGACGCCATTAGAACCTGAAATGTCACGTGACCTTTTGTTTCACGAGCGGTTCGCAACCGGAGATTCACAAACTAGGCTCGAAAGACGGAATATCTAAGATTAGGTGTCCTGAAAACGGCTAATGAAAAATATATACTTAAAAGCATTAGAGAGACGAGCTACCCCACATTACAATGTTTTACTACGTCATAAATGAAAGACTAACACGAAAGTCACGTGTCAGAGTCAGAAACTTCGTGGCCATTTTAAATATGACGCACCCGTGCACCGGGACGGGTGATGTTGGTTCCATTTCTCGCTATCCAATTAAATAATTCTGGCGCGCGGCTTTAAATATACGAGCATCACAATTTTTGTGATATTTGCTGATTAACCCCGAAGAGTCATTACCGACGAGATAAAATTCAATCGTCTATTCAAGAAATTCTCCGTCTGCCGCCATATTTGAGATTTCTCTTACGACGTCACAAATCTGATTAAAAATTTTCTCGTAAATCACGATACGTCGCGTAAGATACAAACGCGTTACGCGGTGTGTTAGTGTTCAATTACGAAGGCGCGTAAAAATTTCACGATAAATAATTCAAAACTGCGATGCACGGCTTACAACACAAATTCTTTGTAACATGAGCACATACAAACCAAATGTAGAAATTTTTATGATTACAATTCAAAATTTTATGTTTTATATTCTAGATTTTAAAGTAGATATAAGAGAGAGAGACATTTATACCTAGAATTCTATACGTGGATCAGAAAGCAACTCCATGCGAGATGATTCTGGTTATTACAAGTGCGTAGTTAAGTCTTGTTCAGAGCGCCGGACTGCAATATGAGAAGAGAACAAGGTTCAGGTAAAGGTGGACGAGCATTACCAGAAGCAAGGCCTGCCATCACTTCTTCTTTGCCTCCTTCAGACCGGCGCCGGCGTTGAACTTGAAGAACACGATGTCGCCGTCTTCAACCGTGTAGTTCCGACCCTGCTGTCGGTATTTTCCTGCGGACTGAAAATCGCGGGACGACAAATCAACACCGAAACATCGATTTTCAAGGCTTCAGCTGCAAGTCTTTAACTAATCAATCAATAATCAGAGAAAATAATTAGTCTTGAAGAAAAAAGTCAATACTTTTACGTGGCAACTTTCGTGCTACTCACTTTGACAGCAGTCTCCGAGCCTTCTTCTTTGAAGTCATCAAACTTCATCACTTCCGCCATAATAAAACCTTTCTCCATGTCTGTATGAATTTTACCAGCAGCTTGAGGGGCCTTTGTCCCTTTCTGAAAAGACGGATCACGCTCAAAAAAAACACGAAAAAATGAGTCATCGGACTAATACATAAAAAAGTCACATGTCAAAAGATCGCAAGACCTCTGAAACGTCGGTAAACTTCTACCAGGCTACACGGCGCGACAAACTCAGAAAACACTTCCTTTCAGTTCAGACTTCAAGATTCACGAAAGTAAGGTCTTATAGAGGTCGATTGCGTGTATTTATTCGTTCCTGGTTTATTCAATTACGCTGTCAATAGCTGAGATATGTTAAATCAAATGATTATTAATGAATAATAAATTGGTAAGAATATAGAGGGGAAACTGTCATGTTTTAATCTGAGGTATAAACCCGGGAACTCCCGAATACGAAGCATTAATGCCAAAAACTCGAAAGCGAAGATCGATCACACGGTTGCCGGTGCCTATGAACAGATCGCTAATGCAGCACACTGCTTTACATCCACTGAGCCGACAAGTTACGAACTTCTCCCAGAGATGGCAGGAGAGTCCAACTTCTTGGGGGCGAGAAGCTTCTGCTATTGGGTTATGAATGTAATGGCCTGCACGGGGCGGGTGAAGGCGGGTAAGGGTTGGTTTGGAGGTGGATCCTCTGGGAGGAGTTGGGGAGGGCGGCTGATTACTCTCCGCGACATTAACGCCACATGGGCTCCCTCCGCCGACGAAACTATCCAAGTCAAGACAATAAAACATTTATTGATTTGGAGAAGTCCATTCAGTTGACTATAACGTGGCAATTTTAATGAGCAAATCCCCTCGCAACAAACAAAATTAATAAGTATGTCGATATTTGTCTTCCGCCTTGAAGATGGAGGCAGAATGTTCCTCCGAAACGTATTTGCCTTGAAGTACAAACGGCGTTAAAACCCAGAAAAACATCGAAATCTTCACGGCGCTGACAAACCTCTAATATACAGGTATATAAGTGAATGGGACGGACAGAATTGGTCTAATGGTTAGCATCCCTGTTTCGCAATCGAAGGCTTCCGGTTAAAATTTCGGCTGCGAAACCAAATATCCTAAGAATCTGACACTACCTCCAAATAACCAGGGCTTTCGAACAATATTTAAAATCACCACACCCTGTATCACTTGCAAAAAAAAATAGTTCTCGTTAAAGAATGAAACGTCCGGTTGCAAGTACAGGATGTTAGACATGACGTCACAGTCAGTAGAATGATTATATTCAGCTCTCTCTCTCAGTGCTTGTTCCTTCTGCTATTTTACGACGCGTTATCAACTGTGGCTTATGAACAGCATGGAAATGAATGTCGAATCGGGAGGGCCGTAGGACGATGGCTGTATTCTGGGATGCTGGGTCATTTGTCTCTTCGGAGGTGCTTACTGCCTCCATCTTCAGGGCGATGGGTCATCCCAGAAGACAGCCATCTTCGTGATAATCGCAGATTATTTAGCTGAGAAGAGGATTACTTGTTTCCCACGTCGCTAGTTCAATTACCACAAGAACGGACTTCGAATTAACATTAAATTTTGTTGTGTACGAAACTTCATGTACTAATGACAGGTGAATGCAAAAAATGAGGGCGCACCAGCCATCACTGTTTGTTCGAGGGTAGCCATTTTGAATATTCGAAGTGCAGGAATGTTTATGTCCATGGGAAGACATGAGAATAAATCAGATTAAAGGCAAAATTACAACGAATAACACACATTCACGTGCGTCCTCAGTTTTGCATCACCCTGTATTTATTAGCCCCATTCAGTTGCCAAAAGCCGCATTTCCCCCCGATGTGACGTAATTCTGTACGAACCACGATAAGTTCCCGGGTGAGGGGGCATCGTTCCACCATATATTCCAAAATTCCCCGCCATAAATTGAACAATTAGGCATTGAAATGACGACAAAAGCGGATATGACGTCAGTAGAAGGGCAATTTCATATATAAATTTGTATTTTCCTTGTGTATCCGCTCCTGCCAGTTCTTATTGCCAAGTCGTCTTTTCCCCGTTCTACTTTGTACTGAAATTGTGGGCGTATTACTCGTAATCCGCTGCCTCGGAAAATTAAAGCCCGTTCGCTCTCGACTCATCCGCCCGAATACTGAATCGAAATTGGCCACATTTCTCCCCGGCTCTATCATTTGCATGAGAATCGTCCTCCGTTGTCTGACGAGTACCTTCCATCTAAAAACGAGACCACTTTTAATTTAGAAAAGAAGATTTTTGATTAAGGGGCGAGGAACGGGATAAATTCGCACGTGCATCCACCGTCGTTGCCCCCCGGGGGTGGGGGTGGGGGAGTGGCCCTCTCTCGACACGGGGTGACTGGCGCCCAGGAATGTTAAGTGGATCAGAGGCCACTTTTGAGGATCGGCGTGGGCGTACAAAAGTTTTATATATTTTTTTTGGTAAAATTCTTTTTCTTTTTTTTTTAAAAAAAAAGTTTCAGGATCATAATCGTCGTTTCTGCCCGTGTCTCCGGGCGATAAACTTCGTACGTACTGTTACGGGGTTGCAGTCATTTTATGTTCGTATTATACTGTTGAATTACGAGGCGAAGTCTAATCGACAGTGCTGGTCCACGAAATCACTGCTATTAAACTACGTGCCGCCATAATTGTTATTTTATTTCAGGGAAATGGAATATACACGACCCCCCCTCCCCCCCATTACATTCGTAAGCCCACAATTTTCGTTACCAGACATTCTACTCCTTTCTGGATGAAGGCGCCGGGTTAAATTCTGTCTTCTTCAGGGAAAAAAAAATATCCCTCCTGAAATGATAGTTAAATGAAGCTGAGCCCCCCTTTTTTGGGGGGGAGAGGGGGTGCTACCAGTCACCCACGTAGCAAAAATCCCCTCACCATTCATTACAGGATTCACAAAAACCAACACGACATTCTGTCTAAAAAAACACCCTGTATTATGAAGTGACTGTCGATCTGTTACCTGGACTGTCCACGCTTTGACTTCATCCGGCCCCGAAGTGAAGAAATACTGCAACTGGAGGGCCTTGTACCCGTGTACGATGATCTTATCCAAGGAGCTGCAAGAACACGTGAATGCAATAATCTGTGCTTTAAACACGAGTCAAAGAATCTAACACAACATCCACTTTAATATCATCCTCCCAAGATCTTCCAAATGATCTCATCCCTTAACTGTTGGCAATGAAATATTCTTAGACGATCAACAGCTAGAGTCCGGAGTGAATTTCCATCGTCCTCACACCCTGACGATGGCAACATATCCAAGCTCCGAAACAAACTTCGTACGTTCTATGAGAATAGCCGTCGATTGACAAATTTTTTTACGAAACGAAAGGAAAATACACGATAAAGTAGAGACGAGAGACAGCGTTCTCTCTCTCTCGCTGAGAACGTGAATGTCCGTCCCCCCCCCCCTTCGAAACCCTCCATCAGATACAATTATCCTTTGCCTCCATATATTTTACCAGATGAAATGGAAAAATATAATGCCATTGTTTTACAAGACCGAGAACAAATCCCTGAAGAAGGTTTTTATTGCCCGAAATTATATTATTATCCTACAATAATACAATTGCTTTCTCTCTGTCTCAAAATCGTTCCTGCGCGCACCGTAATGATCATTATAATACGTAATAATAACGATAATTGTCAGGGACGGAAAATCTTAGCCGCGGTCGAAAGTCTTAAACGCGGTTGCCCCGTGAAGTTCAATACGTTCGTCGCCTCCTGACGCACGAGAATGAATCTCGAATAAGAAAAAGTCGCAACCCGTAATTACGTCGCGGAAATCTGACGAAGAAATGATTCTACTATTTATCTGCTACCTGCGATAGCCTGCCTTAAAAAAAAAAATTCCAATTTAGTCTTTCCTAAGCTCAGGCATACCTCGGAGATATTGCGGTCTCGCGATAAAGCGACAGGGATAATACCCCGACGACGGAGGCAGAAAGAACATCTGAATCGACGGTAGAAGGCGAAAATCGCAGAAGACATCTCACCTTGTCGCTTTGACGTCGTCCAAGTAAAGTTTCCTCTCTTCTTCAGTCATCTCGAGGATTCTGTTCTCGAAAGCTCCTGAGAACGGGATGATCACGGAACCCGGGTCGTTCTTATCGATCCATTCCTTGATTTTGATCAACCTAGACAGATCACAGGAGAGAGAAAAAGGCAAAGTTGTCACGTGGTTTCACGACAAACATCGCCGTGTGTCGATCCATAAATCGCCATCATGGATTTCCCTCGACTAAGTTAATTTTTACTGTGACTGTACATAATAAGACGAAGGAGAACAAGAATTTTAATGTTTTTCTGTCGTCTTCAAATCAAAAGCGCTGAAATCCACGTAAAAATTCTTCTGTGTAAAAATACGTTAATAAATTCATCAAGACTAAATACACGTACGAAAAACAATTTTCCTTATCTGAAAATCGAACCCCGAGTCCTTAATTTGAAGTAGTTCTCTGTGATCAGCGCACAACTAAGCAATGTTTAACACAAGTTATAAAGTTAAATTAACTTTAGTATACAAGGAACGTAATTTCTTTTCAGTGGTTCACCGACTGGAGTGCATGTGTGTGTGGGGGGGGGGGGGGGGGGTTGGGTTACTGTCAAACTACACGTCGAAGTCTTTGGAAGATTCAAACTTTTCTATTGTCCAGTTCCCAAATGCACCTTCGTCATCAAGGATGAATGAATACGCACCAAATTAATAACTGCACAGGTAGATTTTATCAAACGAACTGGACTAAGCAATCAGCTGTTATTCTCCCAACAGCAGTCATATTGCACATGGAACACTGGTCATTACTCGTCGACTGTTTTTCTCGATGGCTGGCCTCCGTCAGACGGTCAACGACGCGAAACGTCACAAGTTGAGGACGATCTTACTGATAATGGAAGCGGTAAACACCTCTGAAACGTCGGAAAATTTCTGCCAGACTTCACGGCGGAACATATCACAAGACAGAAGCTGAACGTGTCCGGGGTTCGTTACCAACTGTTGCCAAAAAATTAACATTTACAACAACAAAAAAAGCTACAAAGAATCTGTCAATAAAATGACAAACTCCGAAACATCGTATATATATATATGAAACATGCCTCAGACAATGGACAATGTCTAACATAATTTTAGTACACATCGTTATGAATAAACCACTGTTCCAGATCTTTAGAAAATAATTAGGTTTACTCTTATACTACAGGGTGTTACATTTAAATGTAAAGAGTCTGACCGCCGCAATTTGCCCCCAGTATCAGGCGGGAGAGCCAGAGGCTCCTCCCGACAAGTCGGTCAGAACCGAACTCGCTTCACGACAGCGTTGTTTACAAAACACCCTGTATATTCCAAAATTATCGATTTATAAATTAAAACCTGTTTGTGAGGATATTTCAAAATAAGCAAGAAAACACGTCACATAACCCGAGTATCTAAAAAAAAGGCGCTGTTAAACATCCATTTTAAAATTATTATCTTGAACACTGCGCATTTATAAGGTATACGACTTTAAAGAATCACTCATTATGATACTCGGAGGAGGTTATGGTGATAAATGTTACGCATGGACATTCCGGGATTCAAACCAACGACGGTCAGGAAAGTTCCATCGTAACGTCTGACGGAGCCTCTCGGATACACGGAATCATCATTAGAAACGATGAGTCTTGCAATATTGGTTTCAGACACAATACGAGGCATGATTGGCCGCCCGGGCACTCAGGGCGACGGACAATAAGTGGACTATCTCTTACCGCCGTGAGATCAAAGCTGCTCCGACCAACTGGGAGACTCACCATTTGTTCTTTTTCTTGATGTAATCCTTTTCCGAGAGATTGACCAGGTAAATGACGGGTTTGGACGTAATAAACAAATGCTTGTTAAGGACTTCGATCTGTAACAGGACATTACGTTCGGATTAATGAAACGTAATTTTAATAAATCAAAACCTGGACCCTTACCTTGAGAGGAAAAAGGACGCAGTTGGAGGGAGTTTCAAAAGAAAACCTCTGGAGGACATTCTAACATTACGAATCTTATTAGACATTGATGGGATATTGAGGGGGGGGGGGGCTGGTGATAAGAACAGCATAAATTTTAGTTTAAAAATCTGCAAGTATGAGACTGCTAGGTTACCGTGACGAAAATGTAAAAATAATATTAAAATGAATCTTAAGTAGGATGTAGTGGGAGAGTCGGGTAACTGAATATTGTAAAGACGGTAATGGACCTCTTGAGTTGCATAATCGAAGAGGAATTCCACGACCAGGTAAGCAACTATCGCCTTCTGAAGGACTCGGGTCCATGACGTTAAAACGATCAGGGGTAATTTTTTTTTGTAATAAAGATGGATAAAAAAGTTACTTAGTATTTTTTGTCCTTAAAAGACAGATTTTCCATTAAACGTGATTACCGATTCACAGAAGTGACATTTTATTCGGTTTGCTCAATACCAAAGAATCTAAATTCGTACAGGGACCGAACTTCACATTCATCGGGATTTACAAGTTTAAATGTTTAAAAAAAAACGCACGTCTTTATACTGCGAAAAATATTTTACATGCATGTAAAATGCAACCACTCGCCCATTAAAACATCTGGTATCTCGATGAACTCAACTCAAAAATCCCAAGAGATCGATAAATGATCTCGAAGTGTCAAACAATCGCACGTGCGAACAATAAAAGCTTTTCGACTCGTTACGCTACGTCACGTTCCTCAGACCCACGAGATCCTGCAGAGCTGTTCATCTGTTTCATAACAACGCCTGCGCGATGCAGAAACATTGTACCATCACATTCGTCCGTTTATTAATATCACAAACATCAACGCGATGGACCACGGGCATTCAGAAGCGGACAAGCTTAAAAAACTCCCAGCCTTTTATAAAACTCACGGGCTCATTTCTGTGTGCACAAAAGCCCTGATGATGGAGGCAGGAAGGACCTCTGAAACGTTGGTACATTTCTACCAGACTACACGGCGTTACAACCCACAAGACAGCCATTTTTATAGGTTTAAATAGGTCAGGATAGGATGTAGAAACTATCAGCTTCTCAAGAAGGCCTCTGTTGTACAGAATACGTAACACGCGCTAATTACTAATATGGAATAACTTTATTTTAAACAGTGAGAGAAGTAAAATGTCTCTTCATTTATGAGTCAGGGATATTATTTTCAGTCCGATAAATTCAAATTATTTGCATTACGATGGCTAATTAATCCTTCCGCGATCTGCGACAATGGCAGATGATTCAAGAATCCTTCGTTAACCATAATTCACGTTCAAGAAACATCTGTTGCAACAATTAGAAGCAATAAATAATCAACTGAGGACACGCAAAGTTCTAAAGCAACAATGAAATTCTTCCTGACTTAACAGTTCAGACCCCCATCACAGTCAATGGCGAGTCGCTTACCATTAGACAGTTACTTTGCAATATTCGAAGGACGACGAACGTGGCTACAGAGAGGGAGCGTCTTCGTATCACGACGTGGCGTCTTGTTACGCGATTGCCGTGAACTGCCACCTGCTGAGTGAAGCCACACTTACTCATCGCTACGTCACGCGGGTTTTAAGGCTTCGGCTGTACACGCTGTGTCTTCAACCTCAAGGACTGACATTCAGCGACGCTAATAGTTGTTTAGCTGGTTAACAAATTCCTCACATTTTACAGAACCCGAGGATTCATTACCGTGTTCACAACAGCACAGGTCCCTGTCCTGTATCTTTGAAGTACATTTTAATATTATCTTAACGTCTAAGCCTAGATCTCCACCCTGGATACGATAAACAACATCCGATCAGAACACACACACACAAAGAACGTAGTTTGCATTGTTTTAATTAAATAAAGGTACTTACATCATTGGCATTCCAGTCGCCGAATCTGATGTGCTGTTTTTCATCCACTACAAGTGTCTTTATTTTACTTAAAATATCCTGTAAAATAAAAATAAGAAATTATACAATTCCACAAACATTATCTCTGCCTTCTACGCACCCTTGAACCATCTTTTGTTTTCACAAAAAAAAAAAAACGTCGCGAACTGAAAGCGTGTTTGTCTTAAGGCGTCCTAATTTCGTCGTCACCGGAATTACGAATTTTTATAAATTTATCACTATTTTCTTTTAATTTACGAACATCGTCTTCGCTACAACAAAGGACCAATTAATCTCTCACAATTGATTATTTATGATTATTATACGTATAGTAATTAAGTTTTGTAATAAATCCAAATGTTTATTCTTTGTTTACGTAAGTTATTATATTTATCTTGTAATTACAGTAACTGGTGTTTTTATGTAAACGTTTGATTTTAACACTTCAATTGTGGATTAAGGGGTTAAATAGATAATTACTATTGTTAAAATATTAATATTCTCACTTTTATGACCGTACAGTATTCTAACGTAATTAGGAAAAATACTGGCAAAGTTCTCTCTCAGAACTGGAAACAAGTCAGAATTTTACACAATGAAATTAATGAGAATTTGATTCGCCATTAAGGAATTTTCACCTTGTGAAAACATCATCAAATGAATTACGATCTTAAATCGAGGGATGCGTTCTTCTATAACCAATCTTCAAAGCTTTTCTTTTGCGATATTTGAACAGTAAATATTAATTATCTTTTGTGAAAATATTTCACGTCGAGAATATTAAGCGGTCCTCTAGAACAGTGGTATTCAACCTGGGGTACGCGAAGACATCTTAGGGGGTACGTGAAGTTTAAAAAATATATATTATATAATCAGTAATGTAATTTATTTAATTTATTTTAGATGTAGATTATATACTATGTATAACTTGGATTATACACCAACAACTTTGGGGGTACAAAGTTGAAGAGAAATTATATCTGGGGGTACGCGAACAAAAAAGGTTGAATTCCACTGCTCTAGAAGGCTTAGAGAGTAAAGTAACCGAGCAGATGCAGGCAGGTTCCCGGACATGATGTCAGGCCACAATAAAAGTGAATAATGTATTTTGACAAGATGGTGGTTACAACACAGCGGGGGGTGGCAGCATTTGTTACTACATGCATCAATAACAGTGGAACGCTTCGTCAGGGGGCTCGAGGGGTGTGTGTTTGGATTCAAGAGGTCACGGGCTTTCGACATGACGGCTCGTGCCAACGTTACGATATAGTCCCATAAGCAGTATCACGGCCATGAGCGGTGTAAGGACTTCGTAATTTGGAAGCTAAAAGCAGGCAGATTCAAGCTGTGACTGACCACACGAAGTTACACGGTAACTAAAATTAAAAATAAGAGGCATGACTTAAACCGAATCAGCTAAGAACACTTATTTTATCGAAGAATTTATAAAAAAAGATTCTGTCTGTGACTTGGTTCCCGCCTTCGACGCCAAAGATGAGTCAAATCTGTCTTCTAGTTTGACGATTAGAACACGCAAGAAGATTAAGAAGACTTACCAGTGTCAGCGGTATATCAGCTCAGCTACTTAGCATTAATCTACATAAATTCACGCCTATCATCCGTTCGGTCACTCAGTGCGGTGGCTGTTAATATAAAACACCGTATTCAGCAAACACCGGCTTCAAGCCCAGCCCAGAATTCGTGGTTTTATTCAGTCCTTCACGACAAATTATGAGATAGTATCTGCGTAATGATGCTTTTTGGCAAGAATCTAAGCTCTGATCCTTGAGAACTTCGAGCACGACGTCACATTTACGGATTAAATTACTTTTAATTTGACGGGGTATCTGGTGCGTGTCTGGTTGAGTGATGACGTCATCACGGAGGATTCCCCACGTCGTTGAGCGGCTGGCTGGGGATCTCCGACGCGGTAATTCCCAAAGCAGTCTATTCTATGCGCAAGAACGCCACTTGGTCTTCGCGTGAAATTATCGATAGTCTAGTTTGATTTTAACCAAAACGTAAACGTACCGACAGATTTTTGTGCAAATCCCAATGCCTAAAAAATTTGATAAGAATCCATTCAGGTGTTCTCCAAGGGCAGACAAACATGTCGAAGGCGTTCGGCGCGTTTTTGGAGAGAAAAAAAGCCATGACACCTTCATTTTACATTCACGTATTTTCGAATTAATTATTCATAACAACCCTTCAACTTCTACGAAACTTTCTCGTTTCAGTCAGGCTCCCTTAAGCACCCCGGGAATCAATCAATCAATCAATCAATCAATGATCACATGTCACTAGGTCTAAAAATCCGCAGACATAGAGCACACGGCTTTCCCCACCTGTAAATTTCCGTGTGACTCAGCTGATTCACGTCTCCTGTGGAACAGGATGACTTGTAATCTCCGGAGGGCGCGTCGCACCCATGACTCGAGAGAAGTCCCACTGATTCTATTAAGATCGCCGTAAGATTGCATTGTGACCAAGCAGCAAAGACACCCACTGCAGATATCGATACATTATCTCGAACATCGTAAACCATTACAGGTACAACCTGCACTTGGCCACTCTCATTCAAAAGCTTCGATTTTAAGTTTTACGTCTTATCTCACCGAAACTTTTTATTATCTGTTAGAAACATTTATCGTTTTCAAGGATAACAGATAAACATTAATGACGTAAAATAACAAAACTACAGATCATGTTCATTATTTAGAAATGCACACAAAATTTTTATCGGAAACCACGAAGCGAACAAGTCGTCTGGGAGGTTTCGGCGTGGGTCTACGTGGAAGTATAATATTAAAATGAATCTTAAAAACAGATCTCCACCTCCTTATGGCTTGCAAAGTGCCACCACCACAATCGTCACCAGATGTCGCGGTCATTTGCCAGGAATTAATAAATGATTGTGATTTTGGTGACAGAAATTACAAGTGTTAAACCATTTAATGTATTATTTTAGAAAATGTTTGTGGACAGCCGATAAGGGGTACGGCCAAGGGTTTTGGCGTAGAGTCGGAGGTCTTCCGCCATAAAATACGACGACAGTTTCTCGTTGTACATTTAACGACGCTGCCAGCAACTCAGAATATACAGAATCGGACGAAAGGTTAATTAATGAATAACAAACTCGGAAAGATATTGAAGGAAGTCATCGTGACCTGATTCAAGATATTATCCCGGCGTTTGCCTGGAGGGGCTGAGGAATGAAATAAATCTTTCAAAATACGCAAATTTCTTGAAAGGTTTGCGAAAATGTGAGGTGGGCAGAATTGGCGGCGGATCGAGTCTACTGGCAGCTGTCGGCATTTCCACTGTCAAGAAATTATGAACAATGCGATAAAAGCCTATAACTTGGCTATTATTAAAATACTACGTCCTAATTATGTTGTAATTTAAGGACGGATTTTTCAGAATTAATTGAAGCAAGTACAACGCCCCAGGCCCCGGGGATATTAACTGCTACTTTCAGATCCCTCAAAATGCGATTTGAACTTACGTATTCAGGCTTCAACTTCTTGTCTCCGCCCCTCAGTACAGTTCTCTCCAGCTTCTCCAGGTGTGTACTCAGGTACTCCTCATCTTTGAGTCGCAGTTCCTCGTTGATGATCTCAAGGTCTCTTATAGGGTTGACCTCGCCCTCCACGTGCGTCACGTTTTCGTCCTCAAACGCTCCTGAAGAACACCAAAAACCCCCGCGAGTCCATCACACCGGCCACTTCAACCCCAAAGCACATCGAGACTCTAAGCTTTACGATCGCATCCCACAGATCAGAAACATCCTTGAGAAACTGACAGTGGTGAAGTCGAAATTTCAGGTTCTCATGGCGACAAGTATGAGGACTTTTCTTGGATCGCCCTGATGATGGAGGCAGTAAGCGCTTCTGAAACGCTTCTATCAGATTACAAGGCGCAATGTCCCAGAATATTTTAATGGGAAAAAAATTAATTATGACCACGTTCAAGAGAGGTGTGATAAAATGTCCTTACGGCGTCCAGTCATTATAAATGAACCATCAAATATTCAAGAGGTCACTTACAAAATACTACACAGAAGTTACTACGAAATTCAGTTTCTTAACATGGACAGACGTACTATTTACTTTATCGATTTG